TCCTCCTCCTCCTCCTCCTCCTCCTCCTCCCCCCTTGGGTATTTAACCCAGCATGGGATGCTCGAGCCTGGACATCCCCTCTCCTACTGTACCGGGCATCCTGAGCTGCTCCTGCACCGACGGACAGACGGGCCAAAGGAGTCACTGTAAGTGAGAAACTGCCTTCAATTCGTGCTCTGGTTCTGGCAAGGGGCAAAGCCTTGTGCTACAGGCTCCTTCCTGGCTTTTTAATCCATATTTACACCCTATTTGTGCTGCTCAGTTTTTGTGCTGCTCTGGCAACAGCCAAGAGCAGCAGCTACTTTGTCTAAAAAGTAGTTGTATAATAAAGTCAGTATTGGCTGATGTACAGCTCAGATCTCAGCCCTCTCATCTGGTCCTTTCACAAAGATCAACATATTCCCATTTGGCAGCATTTCTTAACAGTAGCAACAACAAAATCAGCATTGAAATTTAAAAGAACCTTTTGTGGAGGTTTTAATTATTCCTCTCATTAGTTGAAAAATACAGGGAAAATGAGTGAGGGAAAGCACTGAGCTGTAATGCCAAGAGTTGTCATAGGATGCAGGATTGGGGGCATTTCCTAAAAACTGATGAGGTAAGATCACTAAATCCAGTGTTTTCTGAACATCAGTCAGCAGCAAGTCATGTCACATGCAGTATGCTTTTGCCTACACACTCATAAATGGTAAGTTTTCTTGGGCATTTTAAATTTATTTTTTATCATTTGTGGTGTAATGGTGTCCTGTATCTTTTTGGACATCAAACTGTTAAAAATACTGCTGCTTCCTCTCCTGCCCTTTCCCTGGGGGGGAACCCACAGGGAGAGAACCACCAGTGGGTAATCCCCTTTTTTAGGTTTGTCACATCCTTTTTCCTGCAGTGGGAACTTCACCAGAGCCTTTCTTTAGTATTTGCTCTGGCTGAGCTCAGTAGTGACTGTTTTCAGCTGGAGGCTTGGTTTGGAGTTGCGGCTCTACAGGAAAAGGAGCAGAAAATCCAGGACAAACTGATCTCATCCAGTGATGAGGAACTGTAGAACCAGCTATTAACTGCTTGCCTTTCACCTCCAGCAGGAAGGTTCCTTTAGAACAGCAAGAATTTCTGCTCCAATGGATAAAGGTCTTCACTTCACAATCTGTGTGGTTACAACCGTGCTGCTCCTGAGGGAATCAAGCCAGGCAGGTGAGGAAAAGGATTCATAAGTATTGGCTGCACCCAAACCTGGTTTTGTTCTTCTTCAGAGCATTAATTCCTTCAGTTTTTACCTGCCAGTGCTTGCAGGATTTTGTCTTAATCTCAGAATGTCTTTACAAATGTGTTATTAAGAGATTCTCCAGGGCTCACCCTGTGGCTGTGACTTTGTGATTGCTGTCCCCAAGTGTCTTTGCTGCTGCAGTTGAAATCCAGATGGTAAGAGATGGAGGAAGATGAAAAAAGCCAAGAAAAAGGGTGGTTATTGTGGTTAAAGCTGCACTTCTGTGAGTTTATGACCCTTTGAGCTGCAGCAAGATGCGCTGAGGATGGGGGAGAAAACTGAGGTGAGGCCAGTCCTGACCAGTGCCAGGAGCCTTTTCCCCAGGAGTTCAGCAGGAGCCTCCCTTTGGAAGGCTGGGCTGGAACAGGAAAAGTAGCAGTAGTAGGAGCAAAGAAAAAGCTGATTTTTTGCAGCCACAGTCACTTTCTGCAGCCACCAACCCACGGGGAAGGGAGGGATGAGCCCTTCCCTTTGTCCTGTGCTGCTGCAGCCTCCCAGGAGGTTTCCCAGGACAGAAGGCTTGATGCTGGGAAGTGTCACTGCCATGACCTGGGATTGGTGCTACAGCCCCATCGCCCCTGGACCTTACAGGAGGGCTCACAAAGGGCCTTTGAGCTAGGAGCTGGAGCCCTCAGAACGCTCTGCTGGCTTCCAAGGAACCCCACAGGCCTTCAGAAAGGGGGAACCCCACAGGCCTTCAGAAAGGGGCCTCCAAAAGCTGCTGCTGGCTTAAAAGGGTTTCTAAAGGAAGACAAGAGAACTCCTTTGTGAAGATTTCCAGCCCCCATGGAGAACTGTAGTGGAGAGGAAAAAAACAGGTTTTGTTTTACAGTAGTGTGGAGTTCAGCACAAGGCCAGAAAATGCAACACCAAAGAAGGAAAAATAAATACATAATTAATGAATATGCTGTTATATTTAGAGAAAAACTCACAGCTTTTGCTTGAAAGAGAGAGAACACCCTACATTTTTTGGTTTATCTTGAAGGATTTTTGGCTTTTGTGCCATAAATTCTCTGAGTTCAGAGAGCAATGCTAAGCAGATTCTAGAAAAATCATCTCGAGCAATTAATAAGCAATACATTGACAAAATCATTGTTTTAATTCTGCATCTCAGATGCAGAACCTGGCAGCAGTAGGGGAAAGGAAGAGTGAGAAAAAAGTGTCTGGAAGTGGGTGGTGAGTGTGAAAAACAAGGTTCATTTGCTTAATAAATTATAAAAGGTTTAATATAAACAAAAAGACAATTAGGAGATAAAGATAAAGCAAAGGGTTAAAAAGGGCTGGGCGCCCTGGCGCTTTGCCAGGAACGCACCTGATATCTTTGGAACACTCTTTTTATCCCCTCCTGCTGTGAAGGTTTAATGCATATTCAAATTTTTCCAAGAAGTATCTTGCGTGGCCACTCCCTGGTTCCACCTTTTGAGAACATGCACTATAAAGGTTTGATTTCTTCTGATCATCATTTTATTTGAGCTGGGGTTCCTTTCTCTGCAAGTGGTCAGTGCTGATAGCAGTCTGGGCTCCATTGTCCTTCCGCTGAAAACAGCCTGGGCCCCACTATCTTGCCCTCTGGGGTTATCTTGCTTTGTACAGAAGGACATAGCTCTAACATTCGAAATTCTTCTACGCCTAAAACTTTCTAGCAAGAGAGAAAGGAAAGACACAGCAAAAGCATATAACATTCATCCTAATGCTTGCGAAAGCCAATATCACAATATGGATTTATAAACATGAGGAACTTTTGGCTTCTGCTGAGGGGAAAATACGGCTTGGCAGGAATGGGTGCAAACCTGGGCTGTGTGAGGAAGCAGAAGAGCTGGTGCTGCCCCTGTTCAGGTATCCATTGGCTGTGCAGGATCCATCCCTCAGAGGGTGAGGGACATGAAGTGACTTCATTAAGTGACATTAGAACCTCCTGCAGCCCCACCCCATGCCTATCTCTGCCTTCTTCTGTGCCCTGGGGGAGGAAACAAAGGTAGTTTGAGAGTTGAAAGTGATAATTCTGATTATTTCAGTGCACTGTGAAATGAGAAGCTGTAAATACAAGCCCCAAAGAAACCTGATTTTGTTGTTTTTTTCCAGGAGCTGGGAGGAATGACGATGCTGTGAGTAAGGTATGTTTGAGTTCATTAGTGCAGAGCTACCAATGAAGGCATAGGGCAGATGATCTTACATATTTAATTCAGAAATAGTGGTCAGAGTAAACTAAAGACTTTGATTTGTGAAGAGGTATTATTTTAAGTATATTATTCATGGCTGGTTGTGTCTGTGCTGTTTTTGTTTGTTTCTGAGGAGTTTTTTGACTGAAATTTTTTGTCCAGAGCTCAAAATTCAGTCATGCCTTGGGGAAGAACCTGCCAGTAGTCCTGTCTTCATGGCTGGCAGAGCTGGGGAACATGTGATCACAGCTTCCAAGACAAAGCTCATCCCTCAAACCCTTCCATTGCACAGAGAGTATTAAAACAAGATCATTTGGATCCTGGAAGGACTGAGGTTTCTTTTGCATATTTTGTACTGCATATTTATTTATTTATTTATTTATTTATTCACATTATACACATCCTCTCTCTTTGTCTAGAAAAATAACCCTGTAAGTTTAAAATAAGCAGATGCTTTTAAGACCAACAAACCTCATAGAAACTGACACTTCACTAGAAAAAGCTTAAATTGCCCTGAAGTGGCTTTGATGAGGAATCCACTTGAGCTGGGTGACTGTAAAATTGGAAGATGTATCTTTAACTCACAGAAGTGAATCCACGTTGTCCTTTCCTCCTCTCAGGCTTCCAACTGTTCTGTATCTCCTGGAATTGCTCTCTAACGAGACCTTAATTGGCTGCTAATTCTTTTGTCTGCAGCAGGGATTGGTCTCTTGGGAAGGCTGTACACACCATCTGAAGATGTGTGGCAACATTTGCAGTGATTTTTGTTGGCACCAGGCAATGAAGTGAAACGCTGTGATTTATTAATTAGTTAGGAAACAGCAGCAGTCACTGCAGCTCACGGGGCAGGTTTGGGGCTGGTTTAACTTGGGCACACCCCCTATCCCTCCCAGGTCAGCCCAAGGTGAGGCCCAGCCTGGGATTTTGAAATACAACAGTTCCTCAATTTCTGCTTTGCAGGGCACAGAGTCCCGGGGAGCAGGAGAGGGTCTTCCAACCCTGACTGTCACAACGATCCTGGTAAGGCCATGACAGTGGCAGGGAACTGCTGGAACTGCACTTTGCCTTTTATATCCCATCCATTTGTGTGCAGCTGGTGCTTTGGACTGCTTTGACAGTGATGTCCCTGCTCCTCACAGTGCTTTGGGGGCTGGCTTGAGTGTAGAGGTGCCAGCTGTCTGTAGTGGGCACAGGGAGAATTTGGAAGTTGTCCCTGGGGCACAGCGCTGTGTCAGTGCTCGGGGTGGGGGCAGCCAGGCTTCTCTGCTGAGCTACACCTGAGGGGCTCAGTCCCCTGTGTGTTGTTTCTGGCCTGAGGAAGGAGCAAAGGTCACACAGGGACAAAACCAGGTGATAAAATCCCCCAAAGGCATCCCCAGGTGCTCCAGACAAGCAGGACTTTCAGGAGAAGCTGCAGCAGTGAATTTTTTGATCCTGCCATCAGCCTGTGCCCCTTGCCTGAGGCTTTGATGGGCCAAAATGAAAGTATTTGGCTTTTAGGCTGAGAAAAGATTTTCACTTATTCCTTTGGTACTGGAATTTAGTAAGTTCATTTATTCCAGTGATGGTTCATGTCTCCAGGGACTATCTTCCCAGCCTGGAAATGTCCCTGCATGAATGTGCAGAGGAATAAGGAATAAGAGGGAAGGTTTGCCAAGGTTTAACTCCTCTGGGTGTCTCTGCCCCTTGGGAGGCCGCAGCTGTGCGTATGTCCCTCCCTCCCAGGAGGATCCGTATGTGATGGTGCGGGGTGCGGAGCTGGAGGGATACTGCATGGACCTGCTGGGAGCCCTGGCAGGGATGTTGCGCTTCCAGTACCGCGTCAAGGTGGTGGGGGATGGCCAGTACGGAGCCGTGGCTGCCGGTGGCAACTGGACCGGCATGATCGGGGAGATCCTCAGAAGGGTAAGGCCAGCTTGTGTTCCTCACCCACCCTGCAGCTCTTAGGCCTCCTTAGGATCTGTTCAGGGGCTGAGGAACTCGGGGTTCTCCTGCCTGGAGTGTAGAACTGATGGGCAGCAAGACTTGGCGCTGGGTTTGGCCTACAGAGATGGAAATAAGGCACAAGGAGATGGCCACAGCAGGAAAACAGCCAGGCACTAGCAGGGCAGCACTTGTCTGTCTCAGTGTTTCTCTGTAGCCTGTGAGACTGTGCAGACACCTTGGCAAAACTTAGCCTAAGCTTAACCCCTGTGTGAGATTAGTTTCATTCAGAATGACAATGCCCAGACTCTTCAAGAGATGCTTGAATGCACATTTTGCCCCATCAGATGCATTCCCTGGGGCTGATGTTCTGTTGTCTGTGGGGAACACTTCCGTTAAAGCTCTTTGCCCCTCTGAGCTCAGTCTGAGTCAGACAGGAACAGCCTTTTGTTCTGGGTGAGCAAATCCAGCCTAGCTCCTGCTACAGAAGGAAACCAGAAGTCCCAGATACCAACCAGTACCTCACTGTGAATGGTTCTGCTGGGTGTAATTCCATTCCAATGATTTCCATGGGAAACCCCTCTTGTTCCTTGGGGCTCCCATCCCAAGGCTGTTGATGTGGAGAAGTGATGCCATTTCAACAGCTGCCCACTCAGCCAGGGAAGCACCTGCTTGAGGGACAGAAATGTTCCCTGGGCTGGGTGGCTGATTGGTTTTTATCTCCTTGGCAGGAAGCTGACATTGCAGTGGCTCCACTGACTGTTACCTCAGCCAGGGAAGAGGTGGTGTCCTTCACCACGCCCTTCCTGCAGACTGGGATTGGGATCTTGCTCCGCAAGGACACAGCCTCCCAGGACATGTCTTTCTTCCACTTCCTGTCTCCTTTCAGCAAGGAGACCTGGACAGCCCTTTTATTTGCTTACCTGCTCACATGCTTCTGCCTCTTTCTTGTCGCCAGGTACAAGATTTGTTTCACAGTTTGTATTCAAGTCAGTGGCTTTCTCACCTATGAAAAGATTAGAAAGTCCCAGGGACCCTTTTGCTTTGAGGAGCCTCCTGTACAGCTCTAGTACAATGGCTAAGAAAGCTAAAACCCTGTCAGATTAAGCCAGAATTACGAGTGGGAACTCCTCATGAGGAATACCAGATCTCTTGATGGGGATTATTTTTATTTTTTCCCTCTCAGTGTCTGGTTTTATCCTGTCATTTTCCCACAGACTGAGCCCCTGTGAATGGAGTGAGCCAAAGAATGAAGAGAACCACTTCACCTTTCTGAACAGCCTCTGGTTTGGAGCAGGAGCACTGGCCCTGCAAGGTGAGCTGGGAGGATGCGCCTGAGCAGCTCTGGGAGCAACGGGGTTTTTAAGATGATGGTGCACCCAGCTCCTTCCATGACACTGGGGTGAAAAGGTATCTTAGCAGGGACACTTGGAGCACTGAACCTGTTTGGGGAGGTGTGAGACCTACTGGGGTTGTACAGCTAATTGCATCTGGCTGGAGAATATTTTCTGCTCTGGGTAACCTTTGCTCTGGGCAATTCCCAGCTGAGTATGGCATGGCTGCTTTGTACAGAGGAGTTTGTGGAGCTCTGGGCCACTGCTGCTGCTCCAGCCCTTCACTTCAGCCATGGTGCTGCTCAGACCAGCACAGTGGGGCCTTCCAGGTTCAGGCTCTGTGTAGCTGCAGATCATGGTCTGCAGTTTGCCTTTATTTCAAGGAAGTCTCTGTAACTCAGGCTGGTGGATCTGCAGTTCTTGGTGTGTCTCTGGCCCCATGTCCCCTCCTGTGTGATTTATGGTGAGTTCTTGGTTCCCTGTGGTGCAGGTGCCAGCCCCCGGCCCCAGGCACTCTCAGTGAGGGTCATTGCCGTGGTCTGGTGGCTCTTCACCCTGGCCCTGCTGGCTGCCTACATCGCCAACTTCACGGCCCTGCTGAGCTCTGGCAGTGAGCAGCTCCCCATCCAGACCTTTGAGGACCTGGTCAAGCAAAGGAATCTGGAGTTTGGGACGCTGGAGGGCTCCTCGACTTTCTACTACTTCAAGGTGCAGAGAATCTCATGGTGCCCATACACAGGGGCTATAGGACTGCTGAGCTGGGCCTGAGTCACACAGCTGAGACTTTATAACCCCTACAACACCCTCATCACTGTTGACTCTCTCAGTTTTACTGTAATACTTCAAATAATACGATTATTGTTCTGTTCAGCCTTTCTTCCACCTCTTCTCACAGGAAAGCAGGCACAGAACTCTTATTCTGTATTCTCCTTTAAAAATATCTCTACTGGGCCTGCCCTTGTTTAGCTGGGGCAGCAGGTGCCATCTATGACACTTATATGCTTGTGTGACGCTCGTCCCCAGTGTTGGCGACAATCTGTGCTTGTAGGAGTTCACACATGCTATAAGTGCTCTTCTTCTCCAAATTATTTTACAACCCTTGCACATACAGGCAGATTTTTAATTATTTGGTGGTTGTCTCACACTTGAGTTTGACACTTGGATTTTTGGGCTGCAGAACTCCAAGAATCCCATCCACCAGATGATCTATGAATACATGGAGAAGAGGCGGGAGCACGTCCTGGTCAAGACTTACCAGGAGGCTGTGCAGCGCGTGATGGATTCCAACTATGCCTTCATTGGCGAGTCCATCTCGCAGGACCTGGCGGCTGCCCGGCACTGTAATCTCATCAGGGCCCCTGAGGTCATCGGGGCCCGTGGCTTCGGCATTGCCACCACCCAGGGTGAGTCTGTGCCCCTCTGCTGCCCCACTCCTCCCTGGGATGGCAGGGGGCTGCAGGAGCAGGGACAGAAACAGGCCAGAGCCAATGCCAGTGTTGAGGGTGACCAGAGTGAAAATGCTGCACGGCAGGGTCACTGCTCTGTGGGGAATTAATCATGGCACTCACTGGCTCTCACTTTGAACTCCAGTCCACAAATATTCCATCTCCAAGGGTGTCCTTGGCCCCAGGAATGCAGATCCCCTAAAACAATGAGCAGGGGACAGTCTGCTCCTGCTTTTCCCAAAGCACCTTTGCTCTGCCCTTATCTCACAGGTGTTACTATCCCTCTGTGGCCAGGGCAGGATGACCGTTAGCCAGGAAAAGCCTTTGGCTGGGGGTGTTGTGGTCAGTGACACCTCTGACCCCACACCCATTAACCATGTTTAACTAAACCATGTCTGGGAGCTCTCCCATCCTCCTGTCTCTCCCTGTCCCACTGCCCAGCATCTCCCTGGACCAAGCCTCTGTCCATTGCCGTGCTCAAGCTGCGTGAATCGGGTGACCTGGACTACCTGCGGAACAAGTGGTGGGAGAGCAGCTGCCTGCGCCAGAGCCGAGACCGCTGGGGGCCCCTGGAGCCACCAGCGCTGGGGGGGCTCTTCCTCACCCTGGGCATTGGCCTCGCCCTCGGTATCCTCGCTGCCCTGGCTGAGCTCTCCAGCAGCAGCCGCCGCACAGCCGCACACACCAAGGTGAGCCCTGGTTCCTGCACTGAGCCCCATCCTGCCTCCCTGTGTCCCTCCTTTGGCCAAGGTGAGCCCCATTCTGCCTCCCTGTGTCCCTCCTTTGGCCAAGGTGAACCCTGCACCTTGTCCTGCCTCCCCCTGTCCCTCCTGCACCAGCCAGGCCCCAGCATTTCCACACTGACCTTGGTTTTCTAAGGAAAGCCATGCAGTGGGGAAGGGGTGAGGGGAAGCTGTGCAGTTACTCCTCAAAGTGCCAGAATTTCACAGCCTTGGCTGTGGGATGGGTTTGTAGCCTGAACAGCATAAATATAATAAAAATAAAACAACCCCTTAGCACCCCTTCCTCCCCCCACCCCCATCCCCTTAAATTCCAAGGCAACCAAACTGCATTCCACTACCCTGAGTTTTAGAGAAGACAGCAAATGATCCACAACAAGTTTATTCTCAGTGGTGGCTGTTCTTTAGTCGTTAGACAAGGAAAACACACACAGAGTGAAACTGCACCAGTGTCCGAGTGTGGCCCTCGGTGCTCCTGCTCTCCAGCCCTCCCTGGAAAATACAGATTCACAGAACAATCCACCCACAGCCTTCTCTCCCCCTTTCTCTTTCAGAAATCTTGTTGCTCTGTGTTCACAGAAGAAATCTGCACTCGTCTACGCATAAAAGGAACCTCCAGACAAAGCCAGGAGACATCAGGGAAGGCAAACGCTTAAGGATGTTTTGCTGCAGGAGTGGGCCTGTGTTAGGGTTGTACCACATCCTAGGAGCTGTATCTCAGTGTAGGAAGGTGTTTTTCTGCTAGCCTAGAGTGTTAGTTTGCTAATTACATACACACAGAGCACTTCTGGAGTGGTGGTGGAGCTGCAGACACAAGGAAATGAAGTGGCTTGGAAGAATTTAGATTGATGAGGGGTAAAGTGGAACTGTGACAAATTGATAAACTGGGGCTGAGCTGGCCAGGATGGTAGATCCATGTTTAGGTTTGAAGTTCACCCTGTAAGTCCATGAAAGCCTGTAGGAGGAAGTGACTGGGGACAGGTTAATGTAAAGCCTCTGCTACTAATTCCTGTGTGAGGAACAGTCATGATGCATGAGCATAAAGGTCTCATCTGTCTGTTGTAATCAGGAACAGCAGCTTAAGCACCGCACTATAAATAGCCTCACCCAGCCCTGCCTGAACTGGTGCTGGTCCCTGGGAAGGCAATTCCTGAATCAGAACTTACAGTGCTGCTGTGTAACCCCCAACAGGCCTTTCCTGCATCCCAAACCTCAGAAAGGGAGCCCCTGCCACCAAGGAACCACTGGAGCTAAGAAATGACAGGCAGGGCTTGTCCTTTGTCCCTTTCCATCACAGGATAAGGGCCACTCTTGGGTGACACAATGTTTTGTTCTCGTCCAAGAATTGAGGAGTGACAGTGGAAATCCATGAGTACCAGCTGAGTCAAACACAGCACAGCCCAAGCTCCCCTGCAAGGAGGTATGTAGGGTGTTTTGCATCACTCTCCTGCTCTCAAAGAATTCTGAAGTTCAGGGGAACAGGTTTCGCAGCTGCATGTTAAACACTTTCCTCATTAAACTGTTTTTCAGCACTGGGATGACTGAGGCATGTAAGTGTTAGGGCAAATTGGTGGTGAAATCACTCAATTTATGAACTGCACAGCTGAAGGAGGGAAAAAGCAAATTGGGTTCCTTGGGAATGGCTGTAATTGCACTGCAGGAACAGACACTGATCCTTGTCAGTCCCAGCAGGAGAACTGAAGGCAGTAGAAAGCAAGGGGGCTGGGAAGTTACAGGTGATCCTGACTCCATCACTGCATATTCTCTGTGAGGGGAACTTCGTAAGACTCAGCTTCCAGCTGCTGTGAAGGAATTCAGTGTAGCTGCAGGACTCCCTCCCATGTCCCTCCTGCTACTAGGAATAAACAAGTGTTGGGAAACTAGGGCTGATCCTTAACTCAGATCAACAACCCTTACTCAGTCACAGCCTGAGCAACGTTTGTGAGGTGAGAAAGTAGATCAACCCTTTGATCAGCTGAGCTGCACAGAGCAGGAGATTTAGGCAAGTCTAACAGCTGAAAATGCAACGTCAGGTTCACTTAGCAGTTAGAAACTATTTGGTAAGTGCTGTCACTGCTGGCAGAGTAGGCAGAGATGTATAAAAAAGGTTTCATTGACATTTAAATATATTTCTATATGAATGTCTCACAGAACAAAAAAATAAAGTCTTTTCATCACAAATACTGCAGCATTAAAATAAACACTTACCAAAATAAACAATGAGTGATATACATATATATATTTGAGTGTGTAGACTATAGAGTGAATCATATTGTTGCTTTTTAAGTCACAAAAGCACAATATAAATACGGAATTTCCTGTGAACTCTTGTCCCTGTTGTAATAAAAATACATTCTTTACAGTTGAAGTAAAACTAGTGCAAGTCCATTGGCTGTGCCAGCTTCATCATTTACAGGGCACTTCATACTTGAAGATGACGCTGAAGATTTTGCCCCCGAGGCGGTCGGCAAGCCATGAGTTCTTGATGACAGCAAGCTTGAGGCTCTCACACCTGAGCACGGCGTAGTAGTTGGTGTGGATGGCCCTGCCCATGCCCTCGATGACCACCAGGTCGGTCTGCCGCTCCCGCACCAGCATGGCCAGGCCCTGGTCCAGGCGGCTGCAACACAGCGCGGTCAGAGCAGCCACACCTCGGCCCCATTTCAGTCACACCTTGGCCCCACATGCAGCTGCACCCCAGAGCTGCCCCAAGCTGCCCGCTGGGATTCTGCATGGAGTTACTGGTGCCCACAAACAGCGGCACCTGAAAGCCAAGGGGATCGATTGAAATGTTTAAATAGACCCAGCTTAGGATTTTGACACAAGTGGAACTGATCAGAAGGAAATCAGTTAAACAAGGTGAAATGAGGCTTCAATCCCAGGGGGTTTTGGCCACCTGCAGGATCTGACATCAGCCATAACCTGACCTGCTCCTGACCCAGCTGTGTCCTGAACACAAAAGGCCACAAAAAAAGGCCAAAAGCTGTAAGGCCTGAGCAGTGTAACAGGTCTATAAATCCACACTAAGCACCTCCTAATGGGAGTGCAGAAGCAATTCCCAGTGTGAAGGGTGGCTGGGATGCTCCACAGCCAAACCTTTGGCCATCCTGCAGCAGTGGGACACAAACCACACAGTGGCACCTTGCCTACATACCTCAGATCCAGGCATGGAGAACTGGAGCCCGTCTGAACCAACAGCAGCTTCTCATCCCTCAGTGCAGAGCTGTTTAAAAAGACAAATATTTAACAGCTGCTTCAGTAGGGCCTAGCACATCTGGGAATAAGCCAGAGAAGCAGGAATATTGAAGCCTCTTCTGCAAAGGCTTCCTTTGCTGCAGGGACTTCACCAGGAAACACAATGTTTCCTTGAGCACAAGGATTGCCCAGTCAGCCCTGCATCCTCTCCTGGGGACACTGTATGTATGACATACATGGATTCCTCTCTATTAACAGAAAATTCCTGGTAGAGCACCTGGAGTGCCTGTCAGGGAAAACACAAGACATGTAACTATGGGTGTGCCAGAAAGACACAATTTCAAAGTTTATCTCTTTAATGAAAGCAAATGCTCTGCCCCTTGGGCTGAGGCTGCAGATTACAGATGCTACTGAACAGTGTAATGCAAACCCAGGTTGTGCCCAGGATCTGCTTTCTCCAGGGAGGTGTGACAGACATGGTGCTTACTGGATCACGGGGTCCATGGCTGCGATGCGTTCTGTCACGATCAGGGACTCGCTGTAGGTGACGTCATTGAGGGCAGGGCCAGAGTTACAGGCCAAAATCACCTGGGAGGAAGGTGCCAGGAGAGGTCACACAGTCAGGCTCTGGCATTTCAGGTGCTTGGATTATTTCCAGTTTGGCAAAGGAGTGAGTGTCCTGCTGGTGGGCAGTGACACCTTCCAGCAGTTACCAGAAGTCCATAGGAACTCGTAAGGAAAGCCACTCACCTCTGTCCCTCTAGAAAGGAGCTCTCGGACAAAAGGAAAGACTCCTAAAATTATGTCTATCCCACTGTTATCTGCGAAAATTAAGGCACATTTATGAGGGGGACCCTCCTGCAAGAGAAAACCAATGCATTCAGGATGGAGCGCCACTCACCACAAGGAAGTTTGTTATTCACAGCTACTCCTCCAAATCCCCACATTTTATACCCTCAAACACCTGAGGTCTGGATTGCAGCAAACTCCCAGCACACACCAGTGACAAACAGGAGGAATGAGGCTCCCTGATGGTGTCTTTGCACAGGGGTTTAAAACAGCTGTGCTATGTTTGAGAGAGGGCTCTTAAACTGCAGCAATAAAACCTCCACATGCCAACTCAAGCCAGGCCAGAGTCAGGCTGTGATCCTGAACACACTGGGTGCCAGCTGGACCTACCTTGGAGGGCGTGTTTTAAACTAGCCTGGTGCTGGCTGAACAGGATTCCCTTCTGCCAGAAAGGGGCAGGATGAACTGTGGGGGCAGTGACACCCTAAAATGAAAAGATAGTGCCTATTCTCCATTAACCTCTTCATTGTTCTCAGCCTGGTGTTATGAAACTTAGTTCACCCCAGTTCATATCAGCAGAACTGAAAAATGCTTAATTCCTAATAAAAACTGTCAGGACAGTGCCTGTATCTCCCCAATTATCCCTGTTACACAAGATTAGCTGGTGCTTTGCTTTAGGATGGAGCATGTAAGGATTTGCTATAGTCTGCTCATCCCCAACCTTTAGGCTGCCATTTCCAATAGAGAGATTTACACAGACACAAAAGCTTTTTAATTAATCTTAATTAAATGGTAAGAGTTCACATGGGGAAAAAAAAAAAAAAAAAAAGCTTTACTAACTGATAAATTCATTACTTCCAGCAAGCTTCTACATTAATGCCAGTTTTAGGTTGGCTACCCAGGGGGAGGAACAACTCAAACACTACCTTTGGCCCCAGGTTTTTAAATTCAGGGGTCTGGGTGTATGGAAATAAGAGCCCTGATAAGGAGGGGAGGCTCTGGAGCAGCTGGGCTCCAGTGGGAATTCAGGGAAGGAACTATGCTTTAGACTAATTCCTTTACTCCTCACTTTATGATGAATTTTTGGGCTGTCTGTTCAAACCACACGATTACCAAGATGATTTGATGATTAAGGTGTTTAATTAGCGGCTTTAGGGCCAACCAGGGTCATACCTTCAGTCGCTCCAGCCACTGGCTGTAGGAATCTTCCAACCAGGGACGTTCTATGGCACAGACAGAACAGTGTCAGCATTTATCAGCAGCCACTAACTCTTATCAGCAGTCATTCTGCACATGGTACAAGCAGGAGGTTCATGCTGCACTTACTGAAGCATTGAAGCATTTGAGCTCAGGTTTGGAATGTTAAATGTGTAGGTTCACAGAGTTCCTGAGCTCTCTGTTATGGGAATGTCTCCATGAGAGTAGGCCTGAAGTGGAATTTTCACACTAAAGCTTTGGAGTGGTGGGAGTTGGGCCCTGGCCTGGGGGTGCTGGACCCCCCCAGGACACTGTTCCCTGGGAGGGACACAACAGTGAGTGACCAGTGTTTAAGGAGAGAGAGGTTTAATTCCTTTGCAGATTTAATTCCTTTGGAGCACTACCCAAACTCTGGGTCTGCATTTAGATAACTCCAACAAGTCCTAATGATTCTTTGTCATGTGGGCAGCAGAACCCCCACAAACATTCCCACTCCACTCCCTCAGTAACATCCAGCTCCAACCACCAGCATGGATCTCCCCTTACCTTGGAGCTTTGACTTGGCTTCTTCAAACCCAAACTGTGGCTCAGACTCCAGAACACTGGAACAGGACAGAACCAGACGGCAAGCAGTTCAACACCTCCATCTCACATCAGTGGAATTCAAACATTTGTTTAGCTGGTGCCCAGCAATTTTACTGCACTGCTTATACTGGGGGTGTCTGTCGGTCCCAGGACTGAGAAATGTATTTTGTAATCATGTTAAAAACAAAAGGCTCATGAAGACATTAAATCAGAGTTCTGATGCTGAAAGAAAACAGCCTCAGCAATGTACATAAGTTTGCAGACAGTAGGCTAGGGGCAAAAAAGACATTTTTGGGTCTGCAAACCACCATGAAATTAATGACTTAAAGCAGCTGCAGGGTGTAACAGTGCTGTACAAAGGTCGATGGGGAGACTGAGGAACTTTATTTTTTAGAAAAAAAACCCACAACAGGACATTCTGTAGCTTAAAGTGTGCTGTTAAAGGATGTAACACCTACTCTGAGACTGCCTTTGCTCCCCAGTCAAAGACATTCCCCGCCAGAAGTCCTTTCACCAGAGCAAACTGCCTCTCCTCCCAGCCGAGGGAATCCAGGGACTCAATCACACTCTGGAAACACTTTAAGGCTATTCCATTTTCTTTCTGCTTTACCTGTAAGACAGACAGGAAACACTGGATTTACAGACCAACATTTCTTACCCAGCCTTGGCTGTCTAAGGCCACGTTCAAGCACCTCCTCTGTGTTCATGGCCTCTCATGGACTAACCAGTAACTGTTGTGAGTGTGCTTAGGACCAAGAAAAAACTTTCCTGGATTCTCACAAAGTGTCATGAGTGCCAGAATATGATCTATAGCCCAAGAATTACTTTTCTGAGCAAGTTAGAGGTGCAATAGATCTTGAGCAGATTGGGAAATAGACCTTGAGCAAGGTGGGGTGGGGAATGGGTGTGTGGACACACAAAAACCTTGTAGCACTAACACCATGCATACACCCCATGAAATCACTAACAGCAGTCCCACAGAATCAGAAGGGTGGTGGTTTTGTTTGGTTTTTGGGTTTTTTTTTCATCATCCCAAATTCTCAGCAGCTCTCAGGTTTTTTTCTCTTCTCTGTCTCCAGTGAGATCAGTGTTACAGGGTGAGTTCTCTCAGAAAATTTAATATGATTCTGGGTATCAAAATTTTGTCTTGGCAGTAAACTTGTCTGTATTACAGGAAACAAACATAAGCAAAAGCCACCTCACATGTGTTTTAGCCCTTTCTCACAGCGAAGGTACCACATGACAGTG